GGCGGCTCTGCTGATTCGTCCAGTCTGGTTTTTGCTGTCACAGACGAGGTAAGCTTTTAACGAAGTCTGCTTCGTTTGTGTCCAGCTCAGTCTGGATCGGCTCCAGTTTGGCCCGCCTGTTTTCCAGTTCCTTTCAGGTCTATTTTTGAAGCTCGCTGTGTTTGGAAGCGGACCGCGTGAGCCCCAACAGGTCACTGCGTTCAGCCCCATCGGTCGGGCCGGGCCGGCCCGGACGAGTTTTCCGCTCTGCTGAGTTTAAAGAAGAGGCGCACACACTTCCTGGCTGTCGGCTACATTCCTGCGCTGCGGTTGTTTGGACGCACGCAGTCCGTCTCTCAGAAACAGTTTCAAATAAATCCGATGAACTCAGCTCGGGGGCTGCTCGTTACCTCGTTACAGAGACGATCCTGCAAATACACACTGTCTTTGAATGAACGTCTCACACTCACTTTATAATTCCTGATTGATTTTCCTTTTTTATTGATTGGATTGATTAAATCTGGAGCATAAAACCGCCTCCTCGCTTTTCTTTTGGTCTGTCTGTGAGCTGCAAACAGTGAGCGAGCTGTGAAGACAGGATGGAGCGCCGCTTCCTGTCGGGACATTTTGGAACGTTTGTTATTTCTGTGAGGAGGCGCCGTGTGCGAGCTGGCAGACTGTCAGTACATCTGAGAAAATGAACACTAATGTGAGTGTGCGGCTCTGTCAGATGGACGTTTCTGCAGTTTGTGTGTGTCTGTCTTTGTGTTTGTCTGTGTTTGGTGTGTGTGTGAGAGTCTTTTTACATCCAGATCTTGGAGGCGCTCCAGCGTCATTATCAAACTCACATTCCTGCACTCCATCCTCCGCACTTCCTCTCAGGTTCAGTTATGATGAGCTGAGTCCTCTCAGCAGATTTGTGGCCTTTTATTTTGAAAGGTTAGTGCCCCACCGCCTTCAAAATTTTAATTATAACCTTGTAATTCCTGATTTATATCAGATATTAAAGCTGTGTGAGGTTCATTTTTTCTCCTAAGTGAAATGTGGAGACATATTTAACATTTATATCTTGGCAT